TTGGTGGTATTGCGTGGCAGTAGTAGAAGTGGTACTAGTAGTGGTGGTAGTCGTAGTAGTAGTGGTGACGGTAGTAGTAGTAGTAGTAGTAGTAGTAGCAGCAGTAGTAGGAGTAGCAGTAGCAGCAGCAGCAGTAGCAGCAGCAGTAGCAGTAGCAGTAGCAGGAGTAACGGTAGCAGTCGCGGTAGCAGCAGCAGGAGGAGGAGGAGGAATAATGGAAGTCATAGCAGCATCACCGTCGCCAGCGTCGCACGTACGATGATGGAGGAAATGCCAGGTCATGAGTAATCATAATCTTGTCATGGGGTGTTCTGACAAAAGGGTGTACCTGTCAATAGTCATCGCCATGACTGAACATAAGTTAGTTGCTGCGGCAAACGTTGGATGCTGCATCCTGACTCCGATAGAAAAGAGAGTGCTAGCTGAAGAAGCGTGCACTCGTCGACAACTTAGCATAGTGCTGAGCAGCGAATACGATCCCAGGATGTCATCTACAGGAGCCTAAGTTCTGGTAGACGATCGCAGTCTCTCCTTGGCATACGGCTGCCCTGCGAGATCCTTCACCTGGCAAGGGTTCTTAGCTGCGCCGCCCTATCAGAAGCCCCAACAGTAGGGCCCTCGGTGCGGAATACATGAGGCCGCGCCTCCAGCACAAGCAGGCCTCCGAGCCGAAGCCACTCGTTGCAGCGGGTGAAGAGGCGCTGGCAAAGGAGAGAAGCTGGAGACTAGTCACAGACGCGCCTACTTTGAAAGGCAGCTTCAAGGGCGGTCCCCAGGTGGATCATGAGGGATCTTGGAAGAAATGCTGTTAGGGACGACATGAAGGGTTCTGCGGCTGCCCTATCCACACCAGACAGAAGAGCTTTGGCAAATGCGGATCCTTGATGCCAAGGTCGCCCCAGTTGATGTGAATCCACTTCGTCAGTCTGAAAAGCAGAACCTCGTCACGAGGCTGTTGTCATGACGGCAGCTGCAAAGCCTCTGACTGAGGACCCGGCTACATCGTATTGCACGTTTCGGTTTCCCTCGACCTGCCAACATTAGCGCGGCGACCAAAGAATCCACAAGAAGGCATCACCAAAGACGCCCGAAGGCCGCTTTCCCCGCAGGAAGGCAAAGGAAGCAGAGGAGAAACAGAGAGACTGAGCTTTGCACCTGCGTGTAGAGGACGTTCTCGGAGCGAAACTCGATGTTGTAAGGGAAGCCCGGCCTGGAGCGGCTGAGAGCGGAGAGATGAGACGGAATGAGAGAGCGGTGCCGTGGCGGTCGCCTTGGAGCGGCTGGGAGGTTCACCGGCACGGCCTCGCAAGGAGGCCCAGGCGCCTCTGCCTTCTCTCCGCCCTACGCACCGCGCGGTCCCCGCGCCTTCTCCAGGACCTTGGCGCTGGCGAGGGCCTTCTGCAAGGCTCCTGGCAGACACCGGGAAGACAGCGACCGCTCCTTTCGGCCCTGGAGGGGGTGGTCGGAGCGTCCTGCTTCCAGCGGCTTCGCATGGTACGGAATGTGCCCGCGGCCTGGTGTGAAGACGAAAGCACGGCCGGACTGCAGAGCCCGAGGCCCAGACTCTGGACGTAGCTGACGGGATACCTGAGACAGGAGAGAGCGAGAGAGAGAGAGAGTTACGAAAGCCGCGGCGAAAGCTCCAAAGAGTGCGGAGCAAAGCTCAGCTGCCCGCTGCTTCGTGTACCAGGAAGGAGCCTTCGCCGCGGCCTCCGCGTCCTTGGCCTCCGCGGCCTCGTCCGTGGGGGCCGCCCCCTTCGCCGCATCTTCCGCCGCTCGGCTTCCTAAGAGTCCGAGCGCTTTTCAGGCAGAAGGCAAGCGAGAGAAAAAAGGTGAGCGCCGCGCCCTCTTTGGCATCCTGCACCTGCTCCGCCTGCTCCTCTTCCGGCCTTGAAAACCACAGCGGGTGAGTTCCTTCCGTGTGGAGACTCTTTCTTCCGGCTCCGTCTCGAGGCTTTCGCAAGGTCTTGTAGCCCTTCTGCTTGAGCCAGCGAAGGTACCTGCAGAGTAGCAGACGGCGACGCCCCCCTGGGAGAGAGAGGGGGAAAGGCCAAAACCCCGAGACTGTGTCGACTCAAGAGCCTTTGTCATTACGCATGAAAAGGGCTTCAGAAGGTGCCAGCGAAGGCTTCGTCGACCCCTCCCACTTCCTCCTGCTGCAAGGCAGAATGGCGGTGCCTCAGGGCACGAGAAATGCAGGTGACGTCGATGTCCACGCCTGATACCAGAACGTCGAATGACCATCTTCCACTTGCGACATGCAGAGAGCCGCATGGAGCAGGCCTTCCACTTGCCGGGCACCCATTGCTGCCACCAAGAAGGTGATGAAGCCTTCAGGATCCAACGCAGACGACCCCCCAAAAGTAATCCCATAATATGGCTTACCTCTGATGAGATGAGATCAGATCAGACAGGCTGGCTTGGGGGCAGAGGGCGGGTTGCTGCGCGCTCTGCACGTGTGCCGTCTGCACATTCGCCACGACGGAGATGTCACAGATCTCGCAAACCGGAAAGAAGTGAGCGGTTCTTTTTCCTCAGGCCTTGGAGGGAGTGGCGGGGAATCATGTCGGAGCCACAAAGTAGGCAACAAGGCCCGAACCCAGCTGATTCCAAGAGCACCCCCGAACTTGCATACGAAAGGGCGGACCGCTTACATACCAATTGACGTTCAACTCCTGGCGTTCGGGAAGTCTGCCCCTTGCTTTTTTTTGGCGGGGGGCAGGCGGCTGGCCCAGTGCTTGCAGGGGTTCAGGTGGCCCACTCCTCCTCTCCGGCTCGAAGCCGCTCCTCTTGGGTTTTTTTGGTGGGTCTGTTCAGCCCACTTCTGAGCCTGGTCGCTCACTTCGCAGAACGGGATGGCCGCTCAGGCGGTGGCCGGCTCTTTTCATTGTTGAGCACTCTTGGATTTCGGCTCACCATCGTTTCTCTCACTCTCGTGGTGCCGACATGGCCTGTGCATTCTCCCCTCACTTGTCGAAGCCGTCGAAGCCGACAACTACTTAAGGTTGCAGCTACGACATCCGTTGCTAGCAACCCGTTTTGCCCCCATTCCTGGGCCTGTGTTGCAACCGATGTCCAGCACCACCTGCAGCAGACTCTTCGGCAACGGGAAGCCGCAGACACTCTACCGGCCTTGTCAGCGAAGATGTTGCCAGCTTTCAGCAGCACACCCTTGCAGGAACTCCAAAAGAGCAAGGAGGAAGAGGAAGAAACAAGAAGAGACAACACACAGCAGCCGTTGCCTTCCTAATCATAATGATGATAGTAAGAAGAGCAGAAGCACACCCCCGTTTGTGCCATGATGGAGGACTGTGGGATGGCCTGCACCCTGGGGTCGACCGTGGCATAGCGGTCAAATCGCTGCTTGTAGTACCTGGTTAAGTTGCAGAGAGTGCAAAAACTTCCCTTTTTAGGAGGCTCCATGTCCTAAGCCGCTGAGCTTCTGGCTGGTCGTAGTTGCCGAACATGTACCTGGCCCGGGACTCCTCGGTGGGAAACAAAGCGCGAGAACAAAAGACAGCTACACAAGAACTTCGGACTTCGAAGCCCAGGGCGGAGCCGCTCTAGCTGAGGGCCCGAGCGCGGCAGATCGGCGCAGTTACCAGGATCTGGTCTGCTGCACGTGCCGGCCCTGCCAACGCCGCTTAGAGGGCAGAAGCTGGGCTCCGCAGCTCCGCTCAAAAGGCTCCCGGCTTTGCCTTCGGAGCCCAGCACGCGGCCCTTCCGCTGCTCGCGCTCGCGCTCCCGCTCGCGCCGCCGTCGGCCTCAGGCGGCACAACGACGACAAAGGTATAGCAGCCAACGAACGACAACGACAGCTGCTGCTAGAGTAGCAGTGGTACCAGCCGTAGCCGTGGCAGCAGTAGCAACAGCGGTGGTGGTGGTGGTGGTGGTGGTGGTGGTGGTGGCGGTGGTGGCGGTGGTGGTGGCGGTGGCGGTGGCGGCGGTGGCAGCAGTAGAAGTAGCAGTAGAAGGGGCAGAAGCAGTAGCAACAGCAGTAGCAGTAGCATAGTCATGAGTATCCGTGATGAAAACAAGAACAACAACGATGTTGTTGATGATGATGACGACACACGTTGCTGTAGTTGCTAGCAGAAGCGGCGCGACAAGCAATCCCTGAAAGATGTGTTGTCACGAGGTATATACGACGCAAAGCACAAGTGAATATGTAGGCGACCAAGCAGCTAGAATGCTAGAAAAACTTGCATGAACAGTCTATAGGATGGCTGATTCCAGGGACCGGTTCCTGGGCCCCTGGCCTGGCTTGTCTTTCACGGGGCCTCAGCGAAGACAAAGCCGGCGAAGATGGCCACCGACGAGAGCGCTCCGAGGGCCCAGCTCCGCTTCCTGCGCTTCTTCCCTCGGGAGCCCGACCTCGTCCGTGCACCTGCGCTGCTTCTCTCTTTACGCTCGGCGGCCAGAGGCTTCTTGGCGATGAGACTTTGCAGCCTTCCCGGCCTGTCTTTGGGCGCCCAGCCTGAAAAACAGGCACAAACGAAAGCGTGTCAGTGTTTCCTAACCTGCGCGCAGATAAAGGTGCGCCCGCCTGGCCGCTGACCTCCGTCGCCGGTGGCCGGGAGCCCTCCACGGCGGCCTCCGCGGCAGCCACGGCAGCCGCGGCGGGCTCCGAGGGCTCCGAGGGCGCCGAGGACCCCGTAGCCGGAGCTGGCAGACAGCAAGGATGCTTTTTGCAGCTCGCTCCCCGCTTTGCCCCCGCTTTGCCCCCGCTCCTGCCTTGACCCTCTTCGGGCCGCGCCTGTGGAGCTGACACCGGCTTCTGAAATTCCCTCTTTGCTCCGTTTTGGGGGCCCCATCGGCGCTCACAATTCGGGTCCCTGTTTGCCCTCTGGTTGCTCCGTTTTGGGGGCCCCATCGGCTCTTATAATTCCCAAAGAGCTCTTTCTTGCAAGCCCAAGAAACTCCCTCTTTGCTCCGGTTTTGGGGCCCCATCGGCGCTCTTATAAAGTGCTCCTTTCTTGCAAGGCCAAGGCGCAGGAATCGAGGAGTCGGCCGAGGAGTCGGCCATGGACGGCTCTGGCTCGGGGCTCTCGCGGGATCTCGGCCGCAGCGGTGCATTCTTTTTTTCTGAGAGGCCCTTTTGGGAAGGCCCTTTTGGGGCCTTCCTTTTCCCCTACTTTTCTGGGGGGCTTCCCAAAATGGGGGACCCTAATATCGTACCTTTAAAAAATTTGGGATCCTTACCAAAAAGAGGGTACCCCTTATTTTCAGAAGCTCCCACATAGAAGGCATGACTCTTCATGTTTGGCGAGCCCGATCCGAGGAAGAGCGCAGGAGAGCAGGACCGGCTCCGAAGGAAGAGCTGAGCAACAGAGAGTTGTCGTCCTAGTGGTAGCAAGAGACAGGTAGGAAGAACACCGCTGCTCACCCTTGCATTCTTGGAAAGACGTCGACATTGACAATATGATCGGAAGATGCCCATGGCAGCTGCCATGTCAGCACTCGCAGTGGAGCAAAGTTCCCCCCAAAGCCGCTGGGACCCCGGGCCAGGCCGAGGCTCTCATGGGCGAAAGGCGCTGGCTCTCAGGAAGGTGCGGGCCATGGTGCGGTTTTGGTGCGGACCCAGCTCTCTCAAAGGGGCCTTATGTATATATATAACACGACTTTTTGAGGGCTCACCTGTAACCAACAAAAAACCGTGAGCCGTGACTGCCTTGGCCTTGCAGCTAGCTGGCCTTCTACGGAACTGCCACTCGTGTGCTGGAACACTGGAATGCCAGAAGCTTCGGCTCGGATGCCTTCATGCCGATCTCGGGCAACAGGACAGCACACAAAACTCAGATCCACAGATGGGCGCTAATTCAAGACACCGACCTGTGTCGCCTCTCGAAGCACTTGAAAACAGAGCCTTTCCGGGCTTCGCCGCTTCGCTTCAATAGATAAAGCCCTCAAAGAAGGGACACGGATGAGATGCTCTCCTGCCTGCCTACGCATAGAAGCAAGCGGAAGAACTGTTTTGAACTGCCCATCTGCTCGCGTCCTTGCCGGCGCCCACGAAGCTTGAACATGACATGCGCAGAAATGCTACATAGAAATGTAACACATCTGCTACATCTGTACATGTATAGAGCGGAAAATTTGTGCATCCATAATATGTCTACAGCTTTCGGAGCTTGACCCGATCCCCATAAGCTTCAGGGGAGCTTTCGGCAACCCACCTTTGCTGCCCTTCCGGCCGGGTGGGCTCAGAGGCACAGCGAGATGCAACTGGTCAAAGGCCGAAGTTTTCGGAGCAGTCGCGTAGTCGTTGTACTCAAAAGCCCCGATGGCTTCCAACCCCAGACTCTGACGTGTGGAATTTCCACTGGGACTGCGAAGTAGCCAAGCTCTGTATCTGTTTATATAGCAGGAGACTTTCCGGCGCTGCAGCTTCAACCGTTCGACAGAACTTGGCTACATGTGACAAAAAACCACTCAGCATCTTCATGCAACTATTCTAAGACCCATTGTCTCTTCAGGAGATTGATGCAGCAGGTCGGGTTCCCTGAATGGCATCCATCTGTCTTCTTTATCCTTCTTCCGCCTGGCCTACCTATCTGTCTTGCTTTGCGTTGCTTGGGTTGCTTGGGTTGCTTGGCTTGCTTGGATTTGCTCTGCCTTGCTTAGTTTTGTTTGACTTCTCTCGGCTTGGCTTGGCTTGGCTTGGCTTGGCTTGGCTTGGCTTGGCTTGGCTTGGCTTAGGGGCTCTGTGTGGAGTCGTATACGAGTTACTCGGTTTTCGCTCTCGCTAGGAGAGGAGCCGAGAGGAAGGGGCCTGGACCACGATTTGATAATGGAAGGTGGGGCTGAGCGCGGAGGCGCCCCCGACCGTGCCGCAAGTGTGCGAGCTACCAGAAGCGGCTTCAAGATCCGAGAACGGTCTATGCTTCAAGATCCTAGATGGCGGAGTACTGCGCCGTGGCTCAGATCCTGCCTTGGACCTTTGCAGAGACCTCCACTGTCGGGAGGCAGTAGGGGTTCATTAGACAACAGGGGCGGCCCCGAAGCGGAAGCCTTAAAGAGCCCTAGGCGCGCCCTCTCTTCTTTTCACGGAAACCTGTACACCGTGAGAGACTCGAGGCCGGGTTCGGCCTAGGCTTCACCTTCCCTAGGGGCTTTTTTTGGCCATCCCCGCGCGAAAGCTTCGGAAGCGAATTCCGGCCAGAGGCCTCAGGCATTTGCCAGATCCTCCTAGCCTCAAATCAGCTCTGCCAGACGAATGACCTCACCGGGCGGGTTGGGGGGCTTTGTTCCAGGCTGGGCGGCAGGGCTGCTTAGCCACAAACTCCAGTCTCCTTAAACAGCCCCGGCCAAGCAGCGGTATTCAACGGGTGAGATTGCTCCATCTGCGACCTGAGACGGACTGCCACGCGGAGGCTCCCGCCCCAGGCTCCCTTCTCCTGGGGCACCCGGCAGCAGCAAAGCCTTCCCACAGAGGCGCGGTGACTGCTAAGAGACTCTCAGACTCTTCTTCTCTCTGAAAAAGACTCTTCTCATGCTCTCGGGCCGGTCATATCCCTCAAGACTCCCTCATCTCTGAAGCTCTCTCCTTCCTTACCCTTGGTGTTCGCCTCGTAGCCGCGCGTGTAGAGTGGCGAGCTCGGCGTGGGCGGCGGCCTCGAAATGGAAGAAGGGACTTCACTTTGACACGCTATAAGCCCGACAGGAACTATAGTTGCAGAATGAGGTGAAATTATGATTCGATTGTAATTGTTGCGAGGGTGTATCTATTGGTAGGTTCCCGGCAGAAACGCCGGCGAGGGTGCGACGCTGCAAGCTGTGTCGTGGCCCGTGAGGATCTGACAGAACAGCATGTGTGGTGAAGCATGAGCGCCGTTTCCGTAAAGCAGCTGGAAGGAGGGAGAGGGCGGGGAGATTCGACGCCTTCTCAACACAACTACACAACTCTACCAGACAGGTGGCTGTCCAGAGCCTTGTCCATGTCTGCGCAGGCAAAGCCAACGTCCTGCGCATGATTCGTTGTCCGAGACAGCCAAAGCATCAAAGCAAAGGCCCTCGTCGTTTCGCTGGCGCTGTGCCTTTCTGCCTCTTGTCACCCCGCCACTTTGGCCGACGTGCCTCTCTCAAGAGACCTCTGCAGCTTTAGAAAAAATAGTCCTTCGGCACAGACTGCGAACGCCGGAACGACCCCGGCTCCGGCGTGACCTCAGAGGAAGTGCTGTCCAGTACCAGCCCTCGTAGTCTTGCTCTCGGCTGCCAACCAGAGGGGTCACTGCTGAGTGGATGAAGGTGTTCTTCACCTCTCTGTCCTTAGATTTCTCTCGGATGTCTCGGATCGCAACACCATCCTGAGACACACCTCTGAGCTCCGAAGCTCTCCGCCCGCGCTCACCAAGTCCCCGACCAGACCGGGAGGAAAGCGGTCGCCAAAGCCAGCCTCCTTCCGAAAAACCCAATTTAAGTCCTCTACATCAAAACAAAGGCGGGTGGACGAATCGACCTCCTGCAGCCCAAAGCGCCCGGAGACCCCGAAGTTTTAGATTGCATCACATTCTTGGAAGGGAAGTACAGATTGCGGAAGCAAACCTTTTAAAAAGCCCGCAGAAGTCGGAATTCGCGGACTGCAAGGATGTTTGCTCTCCGAGTTAGCACCATGACTTTAGGTGGCTGTGGATCCGAGTTCGGGAAAGTCAGCTTGAACAGCATGATTCTATGTACTCAAGATGTTAACACAACTCACAGTGTAGATTCCTCAACTAGAGAATGGCTAGGTTCCTTGGTTGATTCTGAGGTCAGACCGACCTGC